GCACTGGCACTTTGTAAGATGAAGGTATGTGTATAATGTGAAGGGCTGAAAATCAGGAATGTTTCCTAAGGAGAATAGCTGGGGAGACAATACAGAGAACTAAGATGAACTAGTCCTCAAATCAGTCAAACAGGATTTTATTTTATGATATGACAGTAAATTGTATATCATTATTGGAGACAGTATTGGGGATTGATGTTCTTTAGGTCTCTGACTGTTGAATAAACAGTGGAGGATTATCTGATACTTTCTTAATTGCTTCCAGCAAGTTAATTTGATAGGACCATTTATCTCCCTGAAGTTAATATTAACAGCCCTGTGTGACTGACTCTTGATGAAGATTACTTTCTTTGCCTAACAAACTCTCAGGGTCAAAAGTGTTTCCCCCACAAAAAGATTTTAAAAAATAATTACTAAACTTTCCCCACTACCAAAGAAGTAGGATTTTTGTGGGGAAAAAAAGTGTCTTTGATGTTCCCCAAATATATCTATAGTTATGGGGAAGAAATATTTCCATGCTCATATTGTCTAGTTTCTATGCAATTATGTACTTTGCAAGGTTGATTTGAACATCCTAAACAGTACCATTAGAGGAAGTTTCTCTAATTATTCTTAATTGCTTAGTTACCATTATTCATTGACAACTGATTTATCAGAGACCTATTGCGTTTTTCATGGCAGTTTGCCTGTATAAAAGAATACAAATAAAAATCAGACAGTTTCTGCTTTAATTGGGAAATATTTTTAGCTTAACTCATGTAGCACATAAGTCTCACGTTTGAAATTTGTGAGAAGCATTGAAAAAAATCATGATTAATGATATTAGAAACACAATGAAACAACTATTAACACCTCATATTTACAAAGCACTGTGCTAGTTTGGGACTTTGAAAGAGACTAAAATTTCATCTCAACGGCTAATGCTAAAAGCACAGATTCAAGGAGACTGAAAGAAGACAAAGGGCCACAAGAATATAATTTAGAACCTATTGTTGAACAAAAAGAATGTAGGGATAGCTGGATGCACAACTGAGATTGCGTAATAAACTTCCATGTTTGGCTAAATGACAACTGGTTAAATATTTTATGGAATAATATAGTGCAGTGGAACTAGAATGCATCTTGGCAGCCCCAAGGAAGAGTTAGAATTCTACCTTAGCCTCTCTGAACCCAGTTTCCAGATATATAAAATTCTCATGATAGTGATAATAGCACCTTCTAAGGGTGTGGTAAAGATGAAATGTCGTACGGAATGAACGTGGCATCTTCTCTGGCATAAAACTAAAGCTTAACTACATAATAATTTCTCGTTATAGGCATTACATGCCACTTGATTTATCCACTTCTATTCCCAGTCCCTACTCCGGTCCCATCAGCTTAAGTAGGTTAATGACCTCTTACAAGACACTGTCTGCTTTTTGCCTCCTGTAACTTATTTACATACAAGAGTCTTTGTGATTTTTTAAAATGTATATTTCAATCATATCCTTCCTTGTTTCAAGCCTTTGGTGGTCTGTCAGTATTCATGGGGTACAAGTCAAACTCCTTAGGGCAGCCTACATTCATGTCAGAGCTAAACTTGATATCAAAGAAAAAAACCCAGGGGCGGAGTAGAAGGAAAATGTTCTCTTATGGGCTCATCTTTGCAGGGCTACTTTGACAAAGTATGCAGACTAGTAGCTTAAACAACAGAACTTACTTTTTTTTTCAAGTCTGGAGGTATCAAGACATCAGTAAGCTTGGTTTGTTGGCATGGAAAAGGTGTCTCCTCTTTGTCTTTATATAGTTCTCTCTCAGTGCATGTCTGTGTTCTAATCTCCTTTTTTCATAAAGCCATCAATCACTCATATTGGATTAAGTACCATTAAAAAAATCTCATTTTAATGCAATTACATTTTTAGAGCATTACCTCTAAAAATAGTCATTAGAAGTTACCAAGAATTAGAATTTCAACATGTGAATGTGGGAACTATAACTTAGTCCACAGAAATCTTCTTTTTCACCTCTGGGTCATTCCCTGTCACTCTGAAAGTTCTGTTGCTTGTAGCTTAAACAGTATTCACTGCAGCGTGTGATATAAATGCCTTACTTAAAAGATGCCACTTTTTTTTTAAAAAAAAAAAAAAAGGGCTCAGAGTAGGTGAATGCTCTGTCCATGGTACCCTGGTTTTGTTTCTCTTTGTGACTTTAGTTTCGTATCAGTACCCTTTGCTTTGTTCTAACTGGTCGCTTTTCTTTTCCTTGAAAATAGCAAGACCTATACGCACTGTCATCCTTCGTCAATTTCTGTTGTTTGTTCCGACTCTTCCAGGTCATGTTTATGCTCCAGACTAGTTTGAAAGTGAATGCTTTGGAAAAGTGATTCTGAACACAGAATTAGAAGCAATTCTAATTGCTTTCGCAGCCTCTTCTTTTCCTACCTGCCTGTATCCATCCTGAAGTAATAGCTGTCATTCATCATATTTCATCTGTTCTGTTCTTTTCTGCTTATTCCCTGATTTTCCCAGTAGCATGGTATCTTCTTGAGGCAGGGAACTCCTCTATAACCTGTCCATGTAGCTGGTGCTTATGCAAATATTTATTGAATGGATGCCCTAAAAAAATCCCTCTGCTAGTCAGGTACATTTAGAATCTCATTCAGTCTTAAAGTGCAGTATAATCTTATAAGCAAATGCCAGATAATGTCACACACAAAGACTAATTCTGAACATAAAACAGTATTTTGGAACTATTGGAAAAATAGTAGAATAAAATAGATAAGAATTTAGAAATATCTTTTATTATTATGGGATGATTACATCCATAGAATTAACATAGGCTCAGATGGTTTACAATGCATTAATAAAGAAAAATATTGTTCCCGTTTTTCTCCTGCATTCTCCTGATACACTCACTCTCTTGGTACACTTATAGTATCAGTATTTCATAGGAAACTATTGTAAATACAGTATAGAAACAACTTGAGTGGATGTTTGTAAACAGCAGTAAACTGGACTGTCTCCTTTTGGAACTGTTTTAGAATTGCAAATCATCAGGTCCAACCTTGTCCTACTAAGGCAGCAGATCTGAAGGTGTATCCAACAACCTCCACTTATCCAGTCTGTTCAGGATAGTCTCCAGTATCATTTGAGTAACCCTACCTTAAATCTATCTTCAAAATAACTGTTGCTTTACCAAGAGTTGGGTAACTCATGTTTACGGACACTGTCAATGTCAGTTGTATGTGAACTTGACTTTTGGAGCCCTCACTTGTAACTACAGCATTTCTGCTTTCTGATACCTTTGTAATTGTTGCTAAGGAAATGACAGTGGTTTTGAGCCAATTTGAATAAAATTGCTATCTCCTGGGTTCAAAAAGTTAGGAGTTACTTGCTTCCTGGATTACTTATTTCTGGACTAATTTTGCGGTAATGAGCTTATTATTACCATTTGGATGTTGATTCTAGTTTCTCATTCAACCCAAAACTTAATTAACTTCTACTGCTTGAAAGAGGTGCATTTTATGTGGTGTAAAAATAAAAGCATGTTCTATAATTTGCCTCTTATTATAATTCCAAAACCTAAGTTTCTTAGGATACATATTCCATAAATAATGTCTCATTCTTCCTCATTCTCTCTGTCTTCATTTGGCCTCGTCGTCAGCCTGTAGAGGGAGAAATATTTAGATTCATTTTCTGGAGACTGAATTCAGACTTAGAGCCTTAAGTGACACCAATTTCACTTTCTCGATTTGGCATAAAACCAATTTCCCAACCTGTATCCAAGTGATATTCTATTTTAATAGCAAACGCTATAGTATCCAGTTATAGAGTAAGTAGCCTCTGGCCATGCAGCTTTATAAACCATTATTTAAGGAAACAGTGTTCAGGAGGATAACAATTTTTATATTTTCATTTGTGGTAAAATGCTGAGTTATTTATAATAACTACTGTTACAACTGAACACATTATGAACTTATTGTCTTTGGAAATTGATTTGCAGCTAATATATTTAATACTTAATAAAATCTTTGCGTTTGATGGTATATTACTGGACGAAAGCTGTACAACTAGGAAGGGTTATGAGTTAAATCTGAACTACAAAAATTCCCAGGCTTAAAGCTTATCACTAAACCTGGAGAGTGGGGGTATTTTTTTGTCCGCTTTTATGTCAACAGTATCAGCATCATGCCCTTACCATGTTTCTCTCTGGGCTAAACATGCACATACTTGCTCATGATAAAGATTTATTTAGCTAGTGGAGAATCTCAGTAGCAACTGAGGGAAACTAATATGGAATGAGCTTTTGGATGAGGAAGCTCTGTGCTCAGCATTCCGTTTGATTGCTATAAAAATTCTGTGAGACAGGTGTGGGTGCTGCAATCAGGCGGTTAAGTAACTTGATGAAGATCACACAGCCAACAGGTGGTGTAGCATGAATGGCTATAACTGACCGAAGACCTTGTCTTGGATCCCAATCACCACGGATACTGTTCCTATTGTTAAAGGTGACAGAAATCATTTTGGAAGTTATTTATAAGTATCTGCAACTCCCCAAAGACTCACTCTTTACAGCTTTGGTCCTCTTCACTCCTGCACCCTGCTGTTTCTTCCTCTGAACAGCTCACTTCTTGCTAGAGGCCAATCAGATGATGAACTCTTAAAAAAAAATCACTAAGGCTAAAAGCTCATGTGTGTCTGCACTGCCTCTTATCCCAGTGCCCAGGAATGATGTGTCATTGTAGAAACAGGTTCTTGGTAAGTAGTTGGGGTGTCTATTTGCCTTTAGAGCAAGCACCATTTTTCTTTCTCTATTGTTACTTTTGGTTTGATTTGGATGCACTCTAAACTGAACTTTACACTCTTTTTTTTTTTTTGAGAGATTCTTTATCTCACTGAAAATTCAAGATGCATGTAAAAACATGACATTTCATGTCAGTATTCATTTATTAATTATCTAGTCCTCCAAGGCTGTAATGTTGGTAATTATTTTTTCACACATATTTACTTCATACTTACTAGGTCCTGTTACAGAGGTGAAAACTGACATATATGTCACCAGCTTTGGACCCGTTTCTGATGTTGAAATGGTAGGTATCTGAGAAACTTTGGAGGTTTGAAAAAAATAAGTCAGAAAAGAGTCAACTAATGTTTATTATATTGTGAATCACACAAAGCCAATGCTTAATTAAACTTAAAATTCTCTAGAAAGCAAGATATTTCATATGCATCCCAGAGTTATCATTTTTAGTATGTATTGACTTGGAACCTTTCTCAACAGAGAGGTCTTCCCTTGTACTACTTCCACACCAATCCCTTCTATGGAAGCTACCAAGGGGAAGAAAATGGGAGATCATCAGTAGTTTAGATATGGATTAATTGTGTGTACAACATTACATTTCTATTAGCCTTTTGGTTTCCCCACTGGCTCCGTTATTTGCCTCCCAGCCTTGATTTCTGTCCTTTCCTCTCATGCTTAAGGAGGTCAAGAGGGCCAGCATTTGTCAGGAAATCCACATCCCTTCAGCTATGTTCTCGTATATTAAATATACTTAATAAACAGAATGGCAAGCGAGTCTACTTTATATTTTTCTTGACCTGAGGCTCCTAATGGTTTGAAGCTCTGGGTTCTTTAAGCGTTTTTAATACACTTTTGAAAACAAAATTAATCTTTTTTTTCAAAAAGTTGACTTCATCCTAAAGAAATGCCTGTAATTTTATGATCAAATATGTAGTGATGCCTGCTACATATTAACTGATTTTTGCCCTCTTATATAAAGTAATGTACACCCCAAATTACCTGGTGTTGGCAGATTTTATTTAATTACTGTAATTAGTCCTCAGTGGCTAATGTGTATGGTGATTTACTTGTTATAAATGCAGAAACTGACGGGATCAAGACGGATATTGCATGCATATTTACTCTGAATCTTTTTGTTCTGTGATTTAAGATCATCTCTGCTTCTATTCATTCCCACTGATGTAGTCTCTAATGACTGGGAGAGGTTAGAATTTATTACTTTTTGCATTATATATGTACGTAGTCACCTGTGACTTGACTTTGTCACAAACCAACTTCTCTAGGAATATACAATGGATGTGTTCTTCAGACAGACGTGGATTGACAAAAGACTAAAATATGATGGTCCCATTGAAATTTTGAGGTTGAACAATATGATGGTCACCAAAGTTTGGACCCCTGATACTTTCTTCAGGAATGGAAAAAAATCTGTCTCACATAACATGACAGCTCCAAATAAGCTTTTTAGAATTATGAGAAATGGCACTATTTTATACACAATGAGGTAACCGATTTTTCTTTCTTGTTTTAACATTTCTTATCCACAACACCCCTCTCCCCAACACCCTCCTCCCTCCCCTCCTTCTTGCTTTCTATCTCTCAATTTTAGGAATCTTTAATATTAATTCTAAAGAAGGGTTGACTTGACTTACTTGCATTTTTCCATGATAGACTCACCATAAGTGCGGAGTGCCCCATGAGACTGGTGGATTTCCCTATGGATGGTCATGCCTGCCCTTTGAAATTTGGGAGTTGTAAGTGACATTAAAAGTATTGCTCAAATTTCTGGTTGTCTTCCTCAAGATCATAATCATGTATTTGTGCAATTTTAATTACCCAGCATTTAAATCCCTATTCATGAGAAGAATTGTGCAAGGTTTAGGAAATTATTTATTTTTTAAAATATAAAGTGATACTTTATAAACAAAGTCCAACTTTTTACAGATGGCTCTTGAGGACTGAGTCATAACTAATAAGCCTGTGGATGCTTGTGAAACTTAGGGATTTGGAAGCAGTTTGTATGTGTCCAAGGTGTAGCACAGAAAGGGCATTGTGAGGGGGTATGATTTAATAGCAGCAAATAAAATTCCTTAAAGGTGGCTTGGGGAAAAGTAAAAAAAAAAAAAGTTTTCTATTTTCCTGAAATAACCTGAGTTAAAATACCATAGGTAGCACTGTTAGTGACAGTAGCTGAACTGACACAAATGTGTAGCTGAGCTGTGAGAAAATTTAGTGGCTGATACACTGTTGACTACATTAAGGATTGTGATTCCATCTGAAAGCTAGGGAAGTTGTTGAAAGATTTAACCAAGAGACATGGCTGGACTCTTTTGACACCCTTTTTGGGAAATGGCCTGGAGAGAGGCTAGAATGGAAGCATGGGGGAGCTGGTGTCTGCTGTTTTCTTGCGATCAAAGATGGCAGTCAGTTAGACTAGCGTGGCACAAGAGGAGCAAAAGTGAAAGAGACGTGTGTGGAAAATTTAGTAGCGATGAAGGCAAGAGGAACACATGAGTGGGTAGTAAAGAGTATGAAGGCTCCTTTCCTCAAGCTCCTTTCTCTGAGATGGCAACAAAATGGGACTGCTCTTGTAAGGTCTGCTTCCAACACTCGATTCAATCAGACTCTCCCAAAAATAGATGTTGGCTTTTACTATTGCTTCAGACTCTTCGTTTCACTGATTGTGAAACCGGTGCCCGCTGTTCTCATTGCTCATTGCTTGACTTAATGAGAATCGGCAGTCACCATTCTTTTTATAACCCTAGTAATCACAATACTCAGTGGGCTAACTTGAGACTAGAGAAAGTCATTTGCTCCCTGACCAATGATTTAATAAGACAAGATAAAAGCAAAAAAAAAAAATACACAGATATTACTGGGCCAGAAATAAAATTACATTTTTACTGTAATAATTTGAATTTTATAAAAGATAGTTCTCATCTGAGAAAGTCTTCTCCTCACAAGACCTCTCTGGGTCTCATTTGAAGCACTCTTCAGTGACTAAAGCAAAGTTGATGCTATCTCAGGCTTTATATATGATTAAGGAAGCATATTTTGGAAAGTATTTTGGTTTACCTATACCATACCAGTAAGCCAGGTTTTTTGTTGTTGTTGTTTTGGTTTGGTTTTGCTGAGTAAATTAATTCTTAATAATTTTTGAAAGAGAAAACCACTATTTAATTATGCTTACAGTAAGAGAAATATGAAAGACAATGCAAGAAAAAGATTATACTATTAATTTAAGTTATCCAAGAGATGATTCCCGACGTAAAAAAGTCATATATAAGAATAAAGTATGCATGAGTTTAAGTATGTAACGCTGTGAATACACTTCCAGGGATAAATGCTGACATCAAGCTCTGTAATGTTGGATGATAATTCAAGCCTCACAGTGTATTTTCCAAGGTCATCAGTAAGGAAAACCTCCCTGAGTGTGGAGTCCTTTAGTAGGATTAAACAAGTTCACCAGGACCTCCTGCATTTCAGCCTTTTTAGGGATGTTTGTAGGGGAGGATGACACATAATTCATTCCGGTTCTTTTGAACTTATTTGTGCGTGAGCCAAGCTATCTGTTCTGGGTAGAGTGGTAAGCAAGCAGCTGGTCTCCATTTGCACTGAGCAAGGAATAACAGAAAATGTACTCAAATTGCCACTGGGGAGGAGTCTTTGAAGTTAGAAGGGAAAGTGTCCTAATTGCAAGCTTCTGAAGGTACTGGGACTGGCTGTGCAATTCCCTGCAGAGCTTTGCAGCCAGCATAGTCAGAACCCTGCAGAATGGTTTCCAAATGTCATGGACCTTGGCCAGAGGCAAAGTCTAGAGCAGGTGACCCCTGGAGAGCTCCCTCACAAGGAGAATTGGTTTTGGTTTTGTTTGTGTTACTGGGGGTGGCATCTGGGACATTTCTAGATGGCAGAGCTGTATGGAATTGTTCAAGTAAGGACAGATAAGAAGTGAAGAATTAGGAATCTAACTACTGTGTAGGAGGTTTGGACTGTCTGCTTTTCAACCTACCTGCCTTATTGGAATGGCAATATGACCACCTGCACTGACACAAATGTAGTTTTATGGTTGTTTCAGTTTTATTCTCTACCCCATTCCATCTTTTGACATTAAAAACAATGAAACCTATAATTTGCTTAACCTCTCTATTTTCCTAACTCATGAACATGTTTGAAAATGACAAAGTAAGTGTTCCCCCCCCTTTTTTTTTGTTGAGCATTTGCCACGTTAAGTGTTGATTTTTAAGATGCATGAAGGAGGACTCCTGACTGTAAGCTCACTCTCTGCTCTTGTTCAGATGCGTATCCCAAGAGTGAGATGATCTATACCTGGACCAAAGGCCCTGAGAAATCAGTGGAAGTGCCAAAGGAGTCTTCTAGCTTAGTTCAATATGACCTAATTGGGCAGACTGTATCAAGTGAAACTATCAAATCTATTACAGGTGAGATTGCATGCACATATTCTCTCTCTCTCTCTCTCTCTCTCTCTCTCTCTCTCTTTTTCTCTCTCTCTCTCTCCCTCCCTCCCCATCTCCAACTCTATCTCTGTGTTGTTTTTGTTCATACATGTGTGTGTTTGCATGTGTTTATGTAGGCACGTGTGGGGATATGGGTGTGTATATGTGACCAGTCCAAGGGGGTCAGTCCTCAGGGTCCATCTACCTTATCTTTTGATCTTTCACTGTCCTGGAGCTTGCTGAGAAAGCTAAACACTCAGTTCTGTGAGACCCAGGATCCTCCAATCCCTGCTTCCCCCGTTCTGAGATTACAAGTCTGGGCTACCTCACCATGCTTTTTTTAATGTGTCCTCAATTTGTAACTTTATGCTTTTATGGCAAGAATTTTGTCAACTAAGATATTTTCCCTGCTCCCTCCTAGTGAACTTTTTAATGGTGAAAGTCAGTGTGCTACTTGGAATCAGCAATGGGGTTTTGTTTGGTTTCTTTCACTGACATCTCACACAGTGTTTTCAGGGGAATTTTCTTCCCCAGAAGTCGAGCTGATATATTTATACTCTTAATTCAGTTTAAAATAAATTTTGAGTTTGTGAGACAGAAGAAATGAATAGATTTTTCTTACATAGACTCAAAAGCCAATAATTAAATATGTTAAAACCATTTTAACAAAATATGAGTGTGGCTCTGATTTTGTGGTGTTTTTCAATTTTTTAAAATATTACCCAATTGTATCGTGCCATTTCTGCCCTTTCTTCCAAAGTAAAACCAAAATCAAAAGCATGCTTGCAAAGTACATTTAGAGTACACATTAAAATTATCATATAAGTGGATAGGTGGCTATACTGGAGATTCTTGGATTTTGAAATAGGAATAGAAATAATCTTAAATTTTAGCTTCCATCATATCTAATGAGAAAATTGGCTACTTATAGCTTATTCCAAAATATATTTCTTCCATACACATTTTTACCAGGAATAATTTATTAATGCTAGTTATCTTAATTCACTTAAGCTGTATATTAAGATATCTTAACCAAAATGTGATGTGGGAATCCCCTCTATGTGCTATGATTACAATTAATGAATAAAGAAACTCTTTTGGACATATAGCAGGGCAGAACTTAGCTAGACAGTGGAAACTAAGTTGAATGCTGGGAGAAAGAAGGGTGAAGTCGGGGAGAAGCCTTGCAGGTGCCACCCAGAGTCAGATGTGCTGAAACTTTAGCTGGTAAGCCACGGCCACGTGGCAATACACAGATTGATAGAAATGGGGTAAATTAATATAAGAGTTAGCCAATAAGAAGCTAGAGCTAATAGGCCAAGCAGGGTAGAGTGTTTGATATAAATGCTAATGCTGACCTTGAGTACTCCACCCTCAAATGCAAATCCCCTATCAAAGACCAGTTCCTAGTATTATCACGTTGAAGGTTAGGTTTCAATATGTGATTCACCATTCCTCTGTTTGATACAGGATCTCACATAGCCCAGGATGCCTTGAAGCTTGCTGTTTAGCCCAAGATAGCCTTAAAATGGAGCTTCTTCAGCCCCAGCCTCTGTAGTCTGGAATTCAATGTGTACCATTGAGCCAGGCACAGTGTGACACTTTAAACCCAGTATTTAGACAATAGTGGTAGTTAAGATGTAGTAGGTAGTTACCATCTTACAGGGTCATTCCCAATTCCTTCTTTGCATTGAATTCTCATAAATAATCTGTGGAGATTGTACTGTTGCCATTTATATTTTTCTAATGAGGAGCATGTAAATATAATGTGCTTAAGTAATTTGAATAGTATTAAATGTCAAGTTCCCAAATTCATAGAAGCTCTGTGTTATGTAAGCTCTTTTAACAGGCCTTGGATGCCACTGTATTAGTAAAACAAATGCAACAAAAGCTGGTTAGTTATTGTTAGATCTTGTACAGTGGTGTGAAATGAGGAAGGGTGTCTTTTGTTGTTTTAAGATTTGTATTGATAAAGCACTGATCTGAAGGGGAAGGAGTCTAAAGAAGCAAGCTCATGGAAGCAGAGTAGGATGATGCTTTCTAGGGCTTTGGGAGGGGTGCCAGAGAAACAAATATTTCCAGGCACACAGCTCACCATTCCAGCCACATAAAACAACCAATCCTAGGGACCTACAGGCCACCTACTGTGTATTACTACCAATTGTAATAGAGGACGGATATTAGATGTTCCTATCACAAAAATACAGTAAGCAAGATGCTGAGAAGAAACTTCTGGAGATGATGAATCCTGGAAGACAGACTGTGGTCTGTCATTTTTACTGACGAATACGTACCTCCAAACTCATTAAGTAGCATATACTTTAAATATAGACAAGAATTTGAATATACATTATACCTTAAAACGCAGTTTAGGAATTTGAAGCAAGTGACAAGAAATGTTGAGAATTGAATTCTTAGCAGTTGAAATTAATTCATGAGGCTGGTCATTGTGAAATACCTTAGGTCACAGTCTCCTCACTTGAAACTGCTTTGTATGAAACACCCTGCTACAAAAGTGTTGGCATTGTTTCTCTCCCACAAACTCATGTGTACTTTTTTTAAGTTTTCAATTTTGAGATCATAATTGCAACATTTCTCCATGCCTTTCCTCCCTCCAAAACCTTCCCATATACCTGTCTGTATTCTCCTTCAAATTCAGGGCCTCTTTTTTTTTTTCACTAATTGCTATTGCATGCATTTATGTATGCATAAACATGTTTATTCCTAAATATAACATTTTCAGCTCATATAATGTGTGTGTGTGTGTGTGTGTGTGTGTGTGTGTGTGTGTGTTATCTTCAAGGATTGACTATTTTCACTGGACAAGCGATTGGCGTGCTCTTCCTTGGGGAAGACCACCTTTACCCTGCTTAGCTTTCTTGAGTTGCCTATAGTTCTTGTGTAGGGTTGAAGCCTTGTGGGGTTTTCTCCCTCCGCTTTGACACGGTACTGTCCTTGTTCAGTTCACATTTAAGCAGTCATAATGATGAGGCATTATGGGTGTAGCTTCGGTATTACACTAGCAGACACAAACCAGGAAACACACAATCTTGCAGCAAAGCTCCGGATCCTCTGGCTCTTACAATCTTTCTGCTATCTCAGCCATGATGCTTGCAAATTCCAGTGTCTTGTGTATTTCCAGTACCTGTCACATGCATCATCATTTTTGGCATATCCTCCTTATGTTAAGTATGAAGCAATGCAATGGCCTCCTAACAGGGTACCTCTGTTTCTTATGACATTCTGAATTTGTTGATTTTCTTATCTGTGGGTTTGAAAATATGTCTGGGAGTAGAGATTTATAAATCTTTAGTTTAAACAGTGAACGTTCACTGGATCTTAAATAACAGTCTGTATGTATTTCTTCTAGTAAAACTGGTTGTCAGCTGCTTGTAAATTGTTTATTTACTTACTGAATTTTTAAAGTTGTATTTCTGTGATATCTTTGTATCTTTGCTTGTATATGCTGCATGTAGAAATTTAATTAATACGGCTTCTCCCTACATGTGTGTACATGTACTGGTTTAAAATACGTTTGAGTAAAATATATTTGTATTTATGTAACTTTTATAGAAATTTATATTTCATTTCTTTCCAAAATTAAGCTTTTCATTTTGTGTGTATATATGTTTGTGTGTTTACATTTTTCATTTGCTTTTCTATAAATACCAAGCCTAAATTCTGCTTTTAAAAATGCTGAATATTGTGATTGGATAGATTGCTCAGTGGTTAATGTGCTCATTGTGGAAGCATAAAAACTCAAGTTCCGATCCCTAGGACTCATGTGAAAAGCTGGTTGTGATGGCTTGTGCCAGCAATCTTAGCACTGTGTAGGCAGAGACTGAAAGATCCTGTTTGTTGGTCAACCAGTTTTAAGAACTGTTTATCTTGAGGTTCACTGACAGACTGGGAGTCAAACAAACAAACAAACAAACAAACAAATAAGTCAATGCATAAATAAATAGGACAGCTACAGAATAAGTCACAAAATGTCCAGCATTGATCTCTGACTTCCACATGAAAGTGAGCATACAGTGTGTGCACACATGCACACACATGAATATGTACATTTTCATGTACCACACATACACACAAATACTGAAAATGAAAGCTAATTGCTTTAGCATATTAGACATTTAAAACAGAAAACACTGTCATCTTTTGAAGTCATAGCCCATTATTAAATTGCTTAATCTATAAGAAATATCATTTTTATGAATAATAATGATATTCAATATCATCTTCTCTTTTGCTCTCCTGCCCACAGTAGGGAACTATACACTTCTCATTGAAATATGCAGAGATAATTGACAATTGATTTGCTGGGAATGCTGATCGTTAGTCTAACATACGAGCATGAAGCGAATGAATAATTTCCTACAGGACCAATAATGTATTTTCTTCATTTTCCTGGCAGGTGAATACATTGTTATGACAGTTTACTTCCACCTCAGACGGAAGATGGGCTATTTTATGATTCAGACGTATATCCCATGTATTATGACAGTGATCCTTTCTCAAGTTTCTTTCTGGATAAATAAGGAGTCTGTTCCAGCTAGAACTGTGTTTGGTAATTTCAATTTATTTCTTGGATACTTTTGTTCACATTACATTTCTGGTGGTGACTCATGGTAAGAACCCTTTGATATTTCTTAGAAAATATTACAGACTCATATACCAAACCACACTGAATGAGGAACTGTTGAAGTTTTCATTTCTAACTGGTCACTATAACACGCTGCTGCTCAGGGAGATAAGGGCAACCTGTCACTTCTGACGCCTTGTCAGATTTCCCTTTTTGAGACCCAGTCATGTGAAAACCAATTGGAAATGTGGATATAATTTCTCTGTCAGTGACATTCTTGGTCCGCTTGCCTAATGCTGTGTAATTGAATTAACATTAAGTCTAGGTGTTAAAATGAAACGCATAGACAGATTAAAATAAAACAAATAAAAGATATGGCTGACTGCACAGGAAAGCTTTAGAATAACCTGGTTTTTTAGAGGTAATGAACAAATGCAAATGGTTTAAAGGTATTGAATGGGAAGGTATTCTGAGCACAGTCTCTCAGCTCATTATTGTATAATGAGCATAACTTCTGGTTTTACTTTCTAAACTTGTATATTTTTCTTTTTGTTCTTAATATGTTTCCTCTGTAATATTCTAAATGATAAGCCTTTTAGAATGTATAGGTTTAACATTTTTACATTAAATAAATCTTTTATACATCAGGGATGCTTCTATATCATCATATTACTTATAGTTAAATTTATTTATTGTAATATAGTTCTTTATTCTATTATTCTTTTTCAACTTTATCAACATCATTAAGTGTTGGGAAAAGAAAGAAAGTGATGAAATTTCTTATAGAATGCAGGCATCAGTCTCCTGAAATATGACGGTTTCTCCTTTTTGCCTTTCAGTTTGGTTGGATTTAACTGTGGGTACAACATTTCTTGTCATACAACAGCTGCAGGAAGGCTGGTGAGGAATTCATGGGAGCCTTTCATCTTACTTTGCTATAACTGCAACCCCTAACGAAAGCAGCTCAGGGAGTCAAGGTTTATTATGGCTCACGACATCAGACAGATTCCAATGCAGACAGTAGCAGCACTGGCCCTGGAAGGAGAATCAAACACCTGCTGTCACGGTTGTGGGGAGGAAGTAGAGAGTATAAGCTGTTGCCAGGACTGGAGTAGCCTCCAGAGGCCATCTAATGAGACACATCTGTCAGGCAGGTCCTACCTCTGAATGGTTTCACAACCTTCACTACAGTGTCATGAGCTGCAGATAGAGAATTTAAACCATGACCCTCTGAGAACATTGCAGATTCAAACCACAGTACTCCCCATCTTCAGATAAGAGTGTCTTGGTGTCTTCAACAAATGGGAAATACTCCTACAAAGGTATTTCTTCACATATAACCAGTGTCTCTGTAATTCTAAAGGTATTTGAATCATAGTCAAAACTCATTCAGAGAGCTAGTATTAGAGGTAGGGTTTGATCTAAGGCAGAGAGTGAGCAGAAATGACGGTTCAAGCTGCTTCATAAAGTTAGGAAAGTTTAATTAAATAACTGCACATTGAAATGCTGGAACAAATGTTATCTGCTAAATATATATGTGAAAATGAAATATGGAAACTATATCTAAGGATTAGATACTAATATTGAAAGGTTAGGATTTAAAATTCAAATATGTCACTTATTTTCTCCATCCATTAATTGAGTTAATATACTTACCCTTCAAAACTGGTGAAGATTTTAAAAGCATTTTATTAGTTTTTAAAACAGAATAGTATCTTTTGATACTATTCACCATCCCCTCATCTTCCATCTAACTCCTCCCAGGTCCATCCTCCAACTTCTTTTCTCTCTCAAATTTATGTTCACTCTCTTTTATGACTAATATTCTACACAGTCCAACCTGTGCTCCTGTCTTACGCATGTGGGGTTTCCACTGGAGTGTGGTAGACCTAATACGGGCCATATCCTTAAAGAAAACTGACTCTCCTTTCTTAAGGACCCACCAACTCCCAATGAATCTCAGTTAGAAAGTGGGCTTTTTATCATTCCTATTCCCACTAAAATGTTATCTACCTTGATTTTGTACAGGTCCCACGCAATTAACCACAGTTTCTCTGAGTTCTTGAGTGTATCAGCCCTCATGTCCAGAGATACTATTTTAGACCAGTACTCAAGCATGTAACCTACTACTTTATATTTCCTTCCTATCAATAATCTATTCATGTATTCATCCATCCATCTATATGTCTATCTATCTATCTATCTATCTATCTATCTATCTATCTATCTATCTATCTATC